CTGTGCGGAACTTCTAGTGATCAGTCCTGTACACTGGATGGACTGATCACTAGAAGAAGTTTTGCACAGTAACAAATTCAAATTGTTGTCGTATGCTAAAAAAATCGGCGAAAAGGAATTTCGAAGAAAGAAATAAACCTTACCTTGTAATCATTTTGAAGTGCTGTTAGTCGTTGTTAATGACAGCTATTAATGACGAGACGGCTTGAAAGACGACAATGAATGGAATAATTCAATAATAGTAACCGGCTTATCATGAGATTAGCTATGCGTTCACTCGAGTGTTGCAAACAGGAGAATGAAGAAGTCTGAAAATTTCGTCAAATAAGTAAGATTCTGATTGTTGAACAGCAAAATAAGTTATTAGCTGGAATTGCGAGCAATCGCTTAGTAGTTTCGTTTCACAAAACAGCTGCCAGTTGGTGAAAAATGCACAGGTGAATAATAATGTTATGAATGATTATTATTATTATTATATTATTATTATTATTATTATTATTATTCTTACAATTATTACTATTATTATTATTATTATCATATTATGATAATAATATCACATTACGAGTAATAATAATAACAACAATAACTATGATAAAGATAATGATATATAGTGAGCTTGCTAGATTAGTTTTTGACGATGAACCACGAACTGCAGATCAATGAGCTAGAATGATCGCTTCTCATTCACAACGACGGTTGGACAAAAAACTGACAACGAATTCAAGCAATTCAACTTCCACAAGCCTGATTATAGAAGGCGACTGAGCTGAAGAAAATGTTCTTGATTCTGAAATTACCACAAAGACAGCAACAACAATAACTTGAAATACTTCAGCCGGACAGCTAGGTATTTCGTACAAATCAAGAAATGTTGCGACGAAAATATTTCTACTTCATTGAGGGCAATCGATGAAAATTTGAACATTATGCAATGCGTCCATAACCTTATAGCTTTGCAAATAAGTTAGTTTTTGTTTTAAGTTCAGGCAATTTATCTATTCATTCAAATTATGGTCATTCATTTACACATTTGTACACACAACATGAGCACCATTCACGTCTATTTCAAAGTAGCATGCATGATGTTCATTTAATCTGTGAATACCTTCGCAAATACTATTCACGAATTGCAATGGCAAAAGTTGGATGACAAAAAATGACCGTACATGTGTTA